GGACAGACCCGCCCAGGTTGGCACCAGCCAAAGGCGGCAGCGGAGCCGTGTGCCGCTTGGGACTGACTGGCGCAGGTAGGGGGAAAGTGCAGCTGAGCCCCTGCTGCTCCGGCTGGGCTCATCTTGTCTCTAGAGGCACATTGCTACTCCTCTTCCCACACGCGCCACGTCGGCAACGTCAAGCTGACGCAGTGCGCGTGGGAAACTTGTCCCTTCCCCAGCCCTTCAGCAGCCATTAGGAAGCTGCTGAGGGGCTGGGGGGGGGGCAAGGGGTGGGACTGAAAGTAAACAGCGTTTACTTTCGTTTCCCGTCACAGCACCGTGGGCCTCAGAAAATGCCTTGGCAGGCCGCATGTTGGACAAGCCTGTTCTAGAACAACAACAACAAAAAACCCACCTCAGCAAAAATCCCTTCAAAATCGTATACAGGACACTTTAAATACACAGAAAAAGGTAAAGGTTGTTAGGCTGCTAGATCTGACAAAGAAACCCAAACTTGTGGGGATCAATAGTGGGACTACAGTTCTCTACACCTCTGACTTAATGTAGCTAGGTCTGTAGACATAAGCATACAACCTCAATTATTCCAGATGTGAAAGAGTACAGTAAAAGTTCCATTAATCGGCACCTTACAAGCCGGCATACTCTGTTAACTGGTATGCTGGCTTGCAAGGCAAAGTGAAACCGGAAGTGCCCACCGTGGCACTTCCGGTTTCGTCGAGCACCCACGGTCCGGGGCAAAGCAGCCTGCGCTGCCAAGCCCCCACGGCCTGGGGGCATGACTGGCTGTGCAGGGCCCACCTCTCTGTCCCACGGGGCCCGCAGGAGGGTCAGTGATGCCCCAGACACAGCAGGAGAAGCGGCAGCCCGAACAGGCAAGGACGCCTGTTCAGGCTGCTCAATTAACCAGCATATTTTGTTATTCAGCATTCCCCATTCACAGGGGATGCCGGATAACAGAGCTTTTACTGTACTAAGTTTGCATACTTGTGAACACTAAACTGGGGACCTGTAAAGGGAGAGTCAAGGAAAACTCAGAAGTTAGTGACTAGAGTTCAGTAAAATAGTCTGAGCTCTAAATGACACCACTGACAAAATTATTTGAGGTGTGTCACTTGGAGCTACCAGAGATTTCTTTTGCTAGTTGTAGCTAAAAAAAGAAAGAAAGAAAAAAAAAGTATAGCTAGAAGAAATGAGATTAGCACACTTATCCATAGAGCTTTGGAATCAAACCAAAAGCATCCCACATGGCTGAATTATCTTAGATCTAAGGAGAAGATCCTGCAAGATATGCACGGGTAACCCAAGAATGAGAATTATGCAGAGTTCCAATGCAAAGCTATAAAGCACTTGTGCTTAGGTAATCTAGGAGTCGCACACAGCTTTGAGCCCCCTCAGGGAACTTCTCTCATGATACTGCACTTCACAGGATTATGTCTACATGGCACAATACAATGCCACACAGAGATACTCTGAGCTAACTGGGAACATGCTACCTTAAATACCAGCATATGCACACTGCAGAAGCATAGGATGCAGAGACACCCAAGCTAGCTCTAGAACAAGAGCAGGAGAACCATATTGGCACAGTGCAGCAACTGGACTAAGACTTGCTTCTCAGCAGACCAAGTTAGCCTGGGTACAGCACCATGCTAACATGCTACAGTGCCTCTGGTTTGGGAGCTAGCACATGCAGAGCTAGCTCATAATTCTGCACAGTTCTGCCTTGTGATGTCTATCTTATCAGTTCTCTACTACCAAAAAGTCATGGTGAGTTTCTTTGCTTAAGTTACTTTTGCTCTCTGTGCCTTGGTTTCCCCATCTGTAAACTTGCCTTCTTCGTCAAGGGCTTAGAGATCCATGTATTACAACAGGGAGGTCTCAGAATGACCACTGATGTTGCTATTCACATTGCACTAACTAAGCACAAAATTCTGAATGTTGGGGTAAGGGGCAGAGACAACCTTAACCCAATTTCAGGATTGTTCATTTTGAGACTTATTCATGCTTTCCCACGTAAACGCTATTTCTGTACTAGTACTCACTGAATTTTTTAAAAGATGTAAAGGTGATAGTAATAGCCCTAAAACAGTGGGCAGCAACAGCAGCATGTCATCTCTACCCAGCTGCGGTGCAAGGCAGGCCAATGCTTCCAACCCACCTGCTGCTGCTACTTCTCCATGCCCAGCATGGGCAAATGCCTCCCTCCAGTCAGCCAGGGCAGGCAATATGCCCCCTCCTTCCAACCATGTGGCATGGGCAACCAAGGGGGTCTTCACCTTGGCTAGTTTGCAGGGAGAAGTGGTGGCTACAGTGGCTGGGTTGGAATCTCCACAGGTTGATTTCAATGGCTTCATGGGACATATGTTGCCAACCTCTGCCATAGAACAGGGGTGGTCAACCTGCAATATACACATGCCACAAGTAGCATTGGCAGCCTCTGTGCCTGGCACAGAGCAGATCAGGGAGAGGGCAAGCAGCACATTATCAGACAGGACAGAAAGCAGAGCCACAGATGGGGCAAGAACACAGGAAAGGAAGCAAAAAAGCAGAGCAGCAGGAAGAAAAATGGGACAGGAAGCAGAACAGGCAGGGAAAGGGAACTGGAGTGGCACTTGGGGAGAGTGCAGGGCCAAGGTGAAGACCCCCTTGGTTGCCCATGCCACATGGTTAGAAGGATTTGTGAGACACCTGCCAAAAAGGATGGCCCCCACTGCCCTAAAAAAAATATTGGAAAAATAAAAGCTTAAGGTGCCTCACTAATAATCTACAAGGGTTTGTTTGTTTTTTTTAATAGCAAAAAGAACCATGTAGCCCAAATTCAGTATTCAATGGATAAAACTCTTCCCCCAGAATCTGTCAGCATGACAAACAAGTGACTGCTGGTCAGAGAAGTCACAAGACTTTGTGCAGTTCTCTAGATGTATTGACAAGTTACTATAATTTACTAGTCTGTTCATAAAATATTATTTTGAAGCATATTAGCATGGGAGCTATTAAAACTAAGGTTTTTCTCTATAAAAAATACTGAACTTACTTTTATTAGTGTAGATACAACCTCAAACGATCCAACAACCAGAAGGACAGGTGCTATTACAATGAGTGGAAGTAGAGAATATCCTATCACACCAAGAACTTGGCCATATGCAACCTGGAAATTTCAGGACAGTTACTACACAATATGGACAAGGTTTGTTTTTCATCTAACTCAAACTTTTATCAACAAAGGAACATCATTACATTTTTTATGACCAAGCTGGCAGCTATACCAGTTAGCTTGTGTGCTGTTTCAATTAAATGTGTTAGAAGGAATGTATTTGAGTGCAAAACAAATGGTTTTGTGCATTGTATGTAGCCCAGGTTTTACAAACAGAATATTATAGGGATTCACTTGTTAGTTCAGGTACTTAACCTAAACGTTACCTAATTTTCTCACTTAAAATGACATTTTAGCACTTACAAGAGAAGGACATGGATGTAAAAGACAAACTACTAGAAAAACAAGTTAGTAGCAGTGTATTCTTTCATGCTCCACCCACAAAATAATCTTTGCACACAGGAGACATCAAAGTGCAGTGTCCCCCAGTTGTTTGTACAATGTCCAAAATCCATACTTAGAGCTTTACTGGACTCATCACACCTGGCTTTTTGTTAGTACAGTTTGAAAATGCTCAGGTGCTCTGCTAATCTCCTTTGGTTTAGCTTAAGAAATGTTGGCATCTCCTACAAAACAGCAGCTACTTGTGGCAGTAGATCATCCATAGAAAACTGTATGACCTGTAGCTGTAGTCTTCCCTTTCCTCCCATATAAAGAATTAAATAATTAACAGTACATATATTTAAATCACTAGCATCTGTATTAACAACTTAAGTTTATACCATGGTTGTGAACCTCACTTGGACCTTAGACTAGATCCAGACCTTACAGCTCCTTGCAGGCCACATCCAGCCTGGGCCACCACAGCAAGAGTGGGGCAAGCAGCTGTGGGCCATTCAGCCACAGCAGATGCACACAAGGGGCAGTAGGCTAGGTGGTCACAGCAACCAAAGACTGTACTGGCAAAGGCTTGCTTGTAACTTTTAGTGCTGAAGTCCATGTAATCTGGCAGGCTAGACAGAGCAAGACCGCAGGCCAGATGTGGCCTGCAGGCCATATATTTGACGCCCCCGATTTAAGTGACTGGAGCAGTTCACATATTTTAAGCATTTTTTATGTTTTCTTTGCAATAAAAAAAAGAAAGAAGCTGATTTTTTGGGTTAAGCTAAAGTTCTCTCAAGAACAGGACAGTTTCAAAAGGCATACTGTTATGTTGTACCTCAACAGAACAGCTCAATCCAAGTCTTTGATCCATTTCATGTCCTTTTGAATTTATTTGTCTGGTGGCTCAGAATTAAGGTTTTTTACCTGTGAACACTGTCAGTAATTGAAATATAAACTCCCAGAGGAATACATTTATGTAAATTATGATGTCTAGTTGCACCCAATCCTTATAATACCTAGACACTTTACCAGTTGAGGTGTATAAATGCATTTCACAATAACGTGCAATTACACAGCTATTGCAGTATAGTTAAAAAATATTTGGAAATAGGTACAGTATAAATAAAATGGCCACACTGCAAAACAGCAGTTACCATTTAAACAGGAGCTACTCACTTATTATAATTAGCTGGCAGCTAGATTATTTTCTTTTTCCACTGAGAAGCTGAAGCTACTGATTTAGGTTTTAGTTGGTAGTAAATATGCACTGATACATTGGTCCAATATCAGATCAGCACCAATACAAAGGAAATTGACTGCATCAGAAATTGGCTTTTTTTGCCTAATGTGGCTGACAATGTGGCCAATAATGCCCCATGCATACACGCAGCCACAGCACGTAAGTGACAAGGAGCACAGCCCGGCAGCTTGGAGAGAACACCTTATAAATAGGGTGACCATACATCCCAGTTTGGCTAGGACAGTCCTAGATGCCCTACGCTGATCCCAGCTGGTTGGTCAGAAGTCCTACGTCAGAGTCTGGTGGGGAAATGGAGCAGCATAGTGAGCCAGGCAGGCAGCCACTGCTACTCCTGTGCAGTGGCCAAATATATGGTCATCCTACCTAACATACCATATCCAAGGTCCAAGAGACTTTAGTGAGCCCGAGCTCACTTCTCATCAGATGCATCTCATCTTTTCCTGGGCTAGGATCAACAATCATCCAATTGTCAGTTCCAGCCCCAAGAATGCACTAGGGCTGGTTCAAGATCCTGGTGCAGTCCGAAGGTCGGAACCACCAGTAAGCTGATTTTTGGTCTACCGTGGGGCTAGTTCAAGACACCAGTGCAGTTCCAGGGCTGGCATAATCAGCTGATTGTCAGTCCCAGCCCTGGGACTGCACCTAAACCATTCTACACCCTGGTGCAGTCCTGGGGCCAGGACCACACTGGCTTTGGTCACCCTATCACGTGTTCAATTTAAGGTACAATTGAGTTCAGCCATAAAAATGTTCCACATCTTTTGTAGAGTATTTTTTGTGGCTGTTTTCCCATCGTGTCACATCATTCACTCCTTGAATGTGTGGCAAGGTTTCTACTTATGGTGTGATTAGTAGGGTAATCCTGTTTTAACTCTAACATCTACCAGGGGCCTTAAAAGGAGCATCTTTTGACTGGCTGTCAATTTCTATTGTGCAATAATTACTCTTCACGTGTAGCATGTCTAAATGTACTGTGCTATTTCCTGGTTAAGTGCACAACGAACGTAACGTGTCAGGGGCCTAAGGCAATGATTTGGACTGATAGTTAGGAATTCAAAGTCTGTTCATTCATTGCTAGCTAGCTCCATTTGCGACTTTTTTTTTTTTTTACTGGTTCTAAAAATGTACTTAGAAACCCAATTAACAGACATTGCATACGATCTATAGCACAATAAATGGGAGGTTATGACTTACACAACGAGTAGGTCTCTATCCTAAGTCAGGCACCCCAAAACCCTAAAAATGCAGCTAAGAAATTTTACATATCACTCACTTTCATATACAACTACTTACTTCTCCTCCAAGAACCCTGGCCAATAAAAAAATTGTCAAGGATCCAAATATCCAAATAGTTATAATCCAAGAAACCACCTTAGGAGAAAAAGAACAAATAAGGCTTATTTCCACAACAGTGTAATAATTGGTTTGGTTTGGTAAGCAAATCTAAACAGCAGCAAACATTATACTACTTAGTATTACAGCAAATCCAGGAATCAAATTCACAGTATATTTTATCATTTAGAGAATAACTTTTTTGCACAAGTTTATGGTGTTTGAGTACTCAGAACACAAGAAAACAGTAAAACCAGTATTTCACAGGGAATATGGTTTTGTATCACAACAGGAAGATGTTAGTAAAACTATGTAACCAATTAGTTAAACAAGCTTTAGTCAGTGCATCTCAAGTCCACTCATGAAGAAATTTAATCAAGTTTCAGATTTTACAGCATGGAAAATATACTGTTTTCACTCTACTTTGAATCATAAAAGGAAACCAGTTTGCCTTTATCCTCAAGAAAAAGCATGTTTAGGCTTTACCACAGGGTTGGCTTAAATCAGGATAGTCCAACAGGAGGCTCGCAGGCTTGTGAGGGGTGAATTTACAACCCCCACAGTTCCTAACCAGCCCACCACCGGCTCCATTGCTCCAAGGGTAGCAGCAGCCGGGTCTCCAGGCTCCTCTTCCCTTCTTTGGCTTCTGCCTCCTGCCCCCACCACAAGGCACGGGGTGCCAGGGGAGCCCACAGGCAGGGATTTGAGGGTCTGGGTACCCAGGTGGCCCAAGGTGCTCATGGCTTATATTGGTGTGGCCTGTGTTACACTCAGCCCCCAGCCACTTTGGAGTTGGACAGCCATAGCTTAAAATCAGGAGAAAAAAAAAAAAACCCATGGAAATTGAGTTCTACCCCTCTCTCTTCTTAGGCGAAGACAGTACTCTCTAATCCCTAATGGTAATGTGTTATACACAAGCCAACAAAAACAAAAATCAAAAAACGATTTAAATTAAAACTCCTAATTCTAATTCCAATTTGATAGTTTCTATCTTAGAAACTGGTCATTGCATCCTGGCCTAAATCCTACAACCAATGTCTGTTCTTCCCATGTTTTTTCTGCTCCTCAGTGCTTAGACTGAATATGAAACCTTAAATCAACAAATTTAAGGTCACCAGTCCATAATTAAGTTTAAAATGGAGATGAGATTCTTCTGGAATGCAGCAAATGGGAGGAGGAAAAAAGATGGAAACTTTACTCCCGTAGTACAATGGCTGCATTCCATGATACTTAATTTTATGCTAGAAACCTTAATTTTATGCTAGAAACCTTAACTGGGTACCAATGTATGGTTTTATATTCAGTGTCAGAATCATAAGGAGGGTAAAGAATCACTGCGGGTTTCATCTCTGCAGTCAAAATTATGTAGTTTTTTGTGTAAAGGTACAATAAAATCCTCTTTTCTCTTTGCAGCCGTGTCTCATGTCCAAAAGAACAACACAGATTAATACATTAACATTTGTGAGCTATACTTAATAGAAGTAGCGCACTGTCAAATGGCTTTCGGTCAGCCATTAGTGCAAAACTTAGAGAAGTTGAAAAGTAATTCCATTTGGGCTCATGCCTCCACATCTGCTATATTCAGCAATAATATAGGAGCAGTGCCAAAATCATCCCCAATCCCCAGGGAGTCTGCACCCCAGCAGCAAGAGCTTTCCCACAGTGTTTCTCTTGCAAAAACAGCCAGTGCACAGTGCTGCTGCTATAAAAGCAAGAGCTGGGGTATGCAGAGCCCTCCAGCAGCCACCAGGGACTATTCTGCATAAGACTCCTGCACCCAGTTCCCCCGCCCTCAAAACCCATGCAGGCACCCCCTTTTCCCCAACTCTCAGAACCACATGTCCCACCCCCAGCCCCAATCTTCCCTACAGGATTTGCCCATGGTGTAAACCCTTTTTGTTATACCAGTTTGCTGTAAAAAAGCATGTCCTGATATGCCTCATTGCTGAATAAAGACCTAGTTAAAGGCATTTACTCTTTACTATAATTGTGTTTCACAGAAACCCACTTAGGTCAAAAGCTGGGTAAATGCTATTAAGGAGAGACGTAGGCTCATACAAGCAACTCCCGCTTAGCGCTCTTAATTGGTTCCTGAAAAAACAAGCGTTAAGCGAAATGAGCATTAAGCAAAATCAAAAGTATCTGACGATCCAAGATGGTGACTGCGAGTGTTATAATGAAACTCGCTGAGCCCTAAGTGAAATCAGGTAATTTCAAATAAGCATTATACTGAAATAGCACTAAGTGAAACACCGTTAAGCAGGGGGTTGCCTGTATCCAGATTGTGTCACCTTTTAGAGTGAAAACGACTGGTAGAATTACTAGAGACATCATAATCAGATTACAATGGAGAAGTGAAAAAGGCAAACTCTACAGAAGGCCAACCAAATCTATACAATAACTCTGGGTAATCAATCCCTGAGCTCTGAAAGAACTGTGGGAAGAGTTCTAGGGATAAGGCATGTTTATCAGGGAGTCGGAAAGTTACTCAACTGCAGGGGGAAGGAGAGTAAGAGGGGACAAGATATTTTAGAGGACAACAAGCAGTAGACAAAACTGTGTTAGGTCAAGGATGGAGTTAAGTGTGTGGCCTTATTCACAAAAAATAAATCACAAAAGTTTAAATAACAAGAATAATTCAGTAGCATGGTTATACTAAATCAGACTTAACAGTCTATCAGTTTCAGCCACAATATTTTACTTAATGTATATGAGCAAGTATTGAAAATATTTCATCTGTTAACTTTAGCACTATGAAAGTATAGGGTAAATAAATTGGAATTAAGTCAATCCAATTAGTATACATTATAACATTTAATAGACTGCATTATCCGTGTATGTTTTCAGAAAATATATCATCCTTTTAGCTGCATTATGGCAAAATAAGTTTGTCACTGTAACTAGTTTTATAAGTGTAATACAAGGAATATTCATGTAAATATTTACTATTCAATTACAAATTAGTTACATCTACAAAGACTAATCCAAGAAATAAGCAAGGATTTCTTTGGGTGATATCTTTTATTGGATCAGCTGTACAGCTGAAATAAAGTTAGACGAGTTTTTGACTGCGTTGCATTCGAAAGCTTGTCTAACTTTATCCCAGCTGTACGGTTGGGCCAATAAAAGTTGTTATTAAAAAAAAAAAAAATCCTTGCAAGCCACGTAATTCCTGGACCATCATGGCTAGATCACTAATACTAATCCATGAAAGAAGTATGTTTAGAATAAGATACTATTTCTTCTCACGGCATAGACAACAAAAGCTCCATCTCTCTGTGTATGAATAAATAGAATGGACTGTTCAGTAATCAAGTCACTATATTTGGTTTGGGATTCTGTTTAAATAAAAAGGGCTATACTCACCTTGAATTGTCCATATAATGAAATCATAGAGAAGAAGAGAACAACTGCCAGAGGACCCCAAAAATCAGGATTGTCTCTCACTACTTGTCTATTAAACCCAAGTGATGGCATAGGCATCAGCACACATCGAATTTTGTAGTAAATATCTTTCAGATCAATGTCTAGTTCCTCCCTACAAGCGCAAAACAAAAGCATTACTATATATTCTGATAACAAAGCAATCTGTGCAAGGAAAAAAAAAAAACGATTACAAAGAGCAAGTTAATGAAGCAACAAAAGCTTATGGAGTGTTCATATCCAGAATGCTTAAATGTCACAAGCTTTGAAGTCAATAAAGTCACTGAAGTCAATTTTGAATGTGAAAGCCCTGGAACCATTAACACAGAATTGTGCTTTATTGTTTTGGAGCACCTTCCAAAAATCTAAGAATATAAAAGAGCATCAATTTCTCTCTATCCACTGGAAAACTAGCAAGTATTGCTTTTTATATCTAATTCTGTATGCTGTTTCATTTCATTTCCAGAATTAAACTTGCTGAAACAGCAGCCACCCAGTAACATCCATCTTGTGAATATACTCCTTTGGTACCTCAAGCAGACAGTTCTATTATTTAAGAGAATGGTAACTGTCAAAGGCAAACATTGTAAGTGTGACTACCCTTTATTAGACTGGCTCATTACATGAACAGACTTTTCTTATCTTTGAGGCTAACACCAATTTAACTAAACAGGTTAATAAACATAGCCCTTTTGGGTGAAGAATGTCTAGTAGCCTAGGATGATTAAAACCAATGAAAAGTTAGTTCAGGAGCTTCATTCCCAAACTGTTATAATAGTCAAACCTAGACATAATGAATGTATAACTGCCCTGTGGAATACAAACCTACTCTTCATAAAGAACAATGCCATACAGTAGAGGGAACCTATCCATTGTCACCCCACTATTTCATTGTATTTGTCACTAGTTTTCTCGAAGAAAACTGAACATGAGTGTTTCTTCTATTCTGGACAGGACAGACCATTTAAGAACCTACCTAGCTTTGTATGTGGGAAAAGTTATACCATTCTTGGAGTAACAGATTAAGTATTATGTTCTCTACAGATATCTGTTCTGTCCCAGCACTTTTTATTTCAGCATCTGAAAATACTTTAAGAAGAGGATACTGTGGATTAACCTCATATGACAGATGGGAAGAGAAAAAAAGAAAGAAAAAGGCATGGAAGCTAAGTGACCTAAAGGTGAAAGGTGACAAATCAAAACTCTTGAAGAACGAGTTTTACATTATGAGATCACAAGTCTTCCTTTTCCCACTACATTTCTGTACATGATTCAGATGGAGTTGAAGTTTGGCAGATCTGCAGTACTCTCTGGTTTAAAAATTAGTATTTAAATGCATAATATGAACATGATAATATTTTTCATGTAGAAGTATAACATGAAGGAGTGTAGAAAGAAGGCTGTGCTTGATTTTTGCTATTTCCAAAATTAAGTTTATTTTACTGAACTCAATCAGAAAGTTCTAGTTTGTAGCAGAGTAACTGTTTTTTTCTAGCATTCTGATTAAGAATGCCATGAAGGGATGTTTATCTTGAAGTTAAACCACAAGTCAAAAAACCCTTTGCCCACCTGCATCAATACTAGCAGTTGTCATCAGTGTATTTACCATGTATTTATTTCAGGCAGTAACTGCTAACATTCATTTTACATTATAGAAGACTCTGAGGTTGTTTCTTGGACAGGGCTCAAGGAACTCACTTTATTGACAGAACACAAAAAAGAGAGGGAGAAAAAAAAAGACATGATCTAAGGCTCAATTTTTTAATCATAATGGGTACACTAAAACTCTGAACGGACCAAGGCTACTTAAAGTCTATTTTGACCTTCATTTTCACCCTTCCCCCAGGCAAGGTTAAAGTAATGTATTTTAGTTTTTTCTCTCAAAACAAAAACATCCAACCAGAAAATAAAGACAGATATCAAAGAGTAATTCTGACATACAGAAGTGGCTTGTTATCTTCTGGGTCATCATCTTCTACTTCCAGAAGCCAGCCATACCCTCTTTGTCTCAGGAATGTAGTTGCAGAAGATTCTTTGATGAACTCTCCTCCTCCACCTCCTAGATTTAGTTTAACATCTGGCGATGCTATGGAACCACTAAGATCTTGGAACAAAGTGAAAGAAAGACATTCATGTTCATACTCTCCCTAAAGTCAGTCTTAATTTCACCAGAATGAGGAAAAAAAGTTTTAAACAGCTACCTGCTACACTGTAGTAATTTATGAACTTTTCCAAGTTACAGAATAAAACTCTACACTATAAAAAGATGTATGATTTGAACATAACATTTTTATACAGAACTAAAACCTCCCTCTTGACCAAGCTATCCCACCACTGTACTTCCAACATTTTAGTAGCTAGCATTACCCACTTGTATAGGGGTGGATAGATACTTTGATTTGACAGTTTCAGTCTGGTCTTGTATTACAGTATATTTCAAGGTATAAATCAATTAACTCACTGACTACACTAGCTTACAACAAAACAGTAGCCATTTGTTTAGTGCTTAAAATTAACTACACTCAACCTGTTTTGAAGTCCATCTTTGCATACTGGCACCTTTTCACACTACCTCATCTCTCCTATGCATAGCAGCTTTTAAAAGAATAATATTTCATGGATAAATTTCAAATTTGTAGCCCAAGTTTGACATAAATTAACATTTTTAAAAAGAAACCTAGAACTGTATAGGCCCAACTTTTGTTCATTCAGATACTAAACAGGGTCTAAACAAACAGTAGGGCTCTTCTCCAATATGGCAATATACTAGAAGCAGAGCAGCCTTCAATCCACTGCATGTGTGCTGCACAACATGAAACTTGCAATAAGTTTTTACTTAAAACTTCATTCTGCATTCTGAGACAAACCAAATGAGATGGTGTTAGAATAATTGAAAAGAAAGAAACCAATTGAGAGAGAGAAGTGGAAAATGAAGCAGGGAAAAGTTAAGAAAGATGGGATGGAATTCACAGAGTCAAAACATCAAAAATTTCCCCCAAGTTAACGCTTTGAGAAGAGGGGTCAACAATGTACAGTCTACAGGCAGAATCCAGCCCACAAAAAGATTTTATCAAGCTTGGAACAATTATGACATCATGTTTAGAATTCCTTTGCTTTAGCAGTCTTCTCACAGAGAAATGTATAGTTTATTATGACCTGTACAAAGCTTATGGTGTCCTAAACATTGTACTGTAAGGCTACATGTTAAAAAGCAGATGACAGGAAAGGAAACAAAAAGCAACAAGACTTTCCCCAACAGGGAGGTGCAGTGAAGTTAGGGGTAATGCCAAGCTGGTCAAATGATTTGGAACTTTTCTGAGACTTGGTTTTGATGCTCCTAAATTTTGAATCTCCTAGATAGCTTTCAAGAAAGAATCTTTTCTCTCCCTGTCTTGTATGACTTTCATCTTCTTTGCCCAGTAAGGAAGGGAGCCTTGATGAAAAGAAATAAGGTTAGACAGGCATAGTAAGTTTTTTTAAAAAAAAAAAAAAAAAAAAGAGAGAGAAAAAGCTTATTCTATATGCTAGACAGCACCATTTGCCAGCCTGGATAAGTTGCATGTTTTCCAAATACAAACGCATCTGTCCCAAGGTGATGCCATTAGTGGACACATCGGTGTAGACCTGGTGCAGGTATTAAGAACAAAACACCACCTAACCCTGCTTATATTTTTGCTTTTTTTATTATGCTAGTAGCCAACAAGAGAGAAACATACACAGCTCATCTTTTGCAAGCCTCCAGATTCCTTTGGCTAGAGGAACATATAGTATCTACATAGAGTCAGCCTTCTGCAAAGATTCCCACACCAATTCCAGTTCCCAGGTATGGGGCCCATGAATCAGAGCTTACAAGGCTGCACCAATATGTGGACTGATCCATTAACTGTAAGTAGAGACCTGCACATGCTCTTCTGCTGAAAAATTGCTGATTTGGACTGGGGCAGGGAGAAAATAAGAGATCACCAGGAAGCCCACCTCTAGCCAAAATATCAATGACATTATAGTGCTCAATATAAACACACACCTTCCTGGAGTTAAGACAAACAGCTCTGAGATATCAGAGTATATCATATCCAGTTGTGAAGATCTCCAGAGCATAACAAAAGATAAGCCACAAGCTCTGGCTAATACTCATCTCCCATCAGTTACTGTTCTCAGTAAGATAACCCTGTGTGGAGGTTGGGACACAGCATCTGTCACATCAGCCTTCACCTCCAACTGGCACCACCTCAATTTACAGACTAAGGGCCTTGCTACAGGTTCAAATGAAAGCCAGACAGAAACCAGCAGTAGAGTTGTTACACATTTCCAAGCCCTAACTTTGCAGCTGGTTGGCTCTGTACAGCCAGAGTCACTTTTCTCACATGACAATCACTTTACACCTGTGGCTGGCCTACATTTGCTGCACAACTCAACAGTGAATTGCAGAATATATAACGCACAGCGAAGGCCTAAATAACATCCACCTAGAGCAGGGGTACTCAACCTTTGGTCCGCAGGCCAAACCCGGCCCATGGAGAGGACATCTGGCCTGCAGGCATCTCCCACTGGGATGGAAAACATGGTGTTTCTTCTATTCTGGACAGGACAGACCATTTAAGAACCTCGCTAGCTTTGCATGTGGCAGGGAATGGTGACAGCTTCATGCATCTGGATCCAGCCTGGCCTGGGCCATCATCCAAGCAGCAGGCTCAAGACCAGGCCCACCTGGATCAGGGCTACTCTGCTCTCCCCACCCCCACCACCCCTCAAATCCAGATTGGGGCCACTCCACTCCCTGCACCCATCCTGGACAGATAGGGGAGGGCTGCACACCTGCTGCAGTCGCATCAGGCCCATGGAGACACCTGTCACAGCCCAGGCCCCAGCAGGGCAAAATGTTTGGGCACCCCGACCTAAAACAGCTCATTTTTAAATGGGATGTGCTCCAAGGGCATTTACAGATGTGCTCTGGGGGGCGGGGGATGCTCTAATTAGCAAGCCACGGTAATTAAAAGTGCCCGAGAGTCACATGTACCAAAAACCGGTGGCAGGCACACTGTGAACTAAGGCTCATGGAACGCGTTTGAGTTTGAAGCGCCCCGCTGCCATTTTTCAGCTCAGGGATGCTGATACAGATGACATTGGAGGTCATGGACGGATTAACGCACAAGCCAACGCAGCCCACGGTTGCCTGGGTTCAGCGCTGCCTAACGATTATTCTTCAATTTTGACCCAATGCTCAATCAATCAGGATGAGCGATATAAAGCAAATAAGACGACTTATTTGCACATTTCTCTGCATACCAGGGATCAGAAAGTATGCAAACAAGTCCTCCAGTTATTTACTTTATATTGCTCACAGCAACTGGCCAGTGAGTGAGCACTGGGGCACCCACCTCCGAAGCACCAGCGCTAGGAGGGGAAGAG